CCCCAGCCTGCGGCACTTTGTATGGCAGCTCGGGTGACTAACAACCCCTCCTGTTAAGGAAAACCAACCTTTTGTACCATAAACAGATTGCTAGTACCTAAAATGGTTGAAGTGGGAAGATTCAGTCCTATTTCAACTTTGGGCCCTGATCACAGACACATCCCTTCAGTTCTGTATCTGTTTCTCAATCTGTAGAAAGAGGAGAAAACACTTGAGAAATAAAATGAAATTGTTTCTATCTCTGAAGTCCTGTGTGCCCTCACAGAAATGTGATCACTCTGCCCCAGTAAGCTGGCCTCAGACGCTCCATGTCACTGCTTTGTCCTGTCTGGCCACCTGCAGAGCGGCTGCGTTCCATCTCTCAGGTGAGCCGCTCTCTGTCCTGGGTGCCAGCCAGCCTCTCAGCCATCCCAAGAGGCCGCAGGATGCAGCCAACCTGTGAGGACAGCTTCAAACTCAGTCTTCCGCGTACAAGAGCGTCTTCCTGCCCACCATCCTGCCCCATAACCAGGTTCTACAGCTTGAGACACTGTCACTTGCAGACTCTCATAGACACATACGTAGAGAGTAAGATGTCATGTCCACGATTTGCACGGCCACCTGTTAACACTCCTTAGGAACGTGTTTCCAAGTTCCAGCTAAGTACCTAGTTACAGAGAGGAGAGAGAGAAAAGGTATTTTTCTTTGTCTTGGTGTTTTGTATTCAGCAGCACATTTAACCTTGAATAAGGCACCGTGACAACACCCCACATGAGCCTTGGAGGACAGGCCGAGTTCGTCACAGTCACAGAAGGCAAAGCAGAGGCCCACCAGCCTGGGGAACATACTGTGACGTGGCCATCAAGAAGGGACATCCACTCCGCCGTGCTGCTACCTGCAGAGCCCCATGAGGCTTAACCAGTCCCTTCCCTACTACCAGGAAGGAGCTGGGATGCACCGAGCTGGAACACAGGGAAGAAAGGGGTCGCTCTGAAACCATTGCGTGCTACAAATGGAAGGAAAGCGTGTCACATGCAGATAAGCCGTCTGGGTCTGTGCACGAGGCTCAAATCAAAGGTAGGTGTGACACCACTCACAGCACCCTTAGCTCTCAGGAAACACCTGCAAACGCAGATGGTGATGCCAGAAGCCTCTAAGAGCCGAGAGCTCAGGCCTTAGCGACAGAATCATAGACGCTCCTGTAAACAGGAAGACAAGCTAAGGCACGTCACCAGGTGAAGTAAATGGCATTTCATCCACATGTGCTTTCTACATTTGCTTTTGGGCATAGCTCATCTCCCATTTCATTACTTAAAATGAAAGGAGGCAGACAAGCTTTCGCTCCTAAGAGAAAAATGCTGAAGAGTAAGTTGGTCTAATGCGAGTGCTGATTTCCTAGCAGCCTAATTATTTAAAGTCACCGCACATCTCCGGGTGTGCCCCAGTGTGGGGCCCTTGTCCATCTCCTCCCCAGCTGACATGTGCCAAGTTTCCAGAACCCAGAAACCTCCTGGCTAGGGTTTGTCCCCACAAGTCCTTTAAGCTCAGTTTTCCACACTGGGGTACAAAACACTCTGGACCCTGTTGAGGACGGGAGGCAAAGTGGGTGGCTGGCCAGAGCCCAAGGCTGTCCCCTCAGCAGCTTCTGCGGCCTCGCCCCAAAAACATGGGTGGTTATGATCCCTGCCCCCCTCCCCGCCCCAGTGACCCAGGGATGTGATCAGATGACGTGTGGGACAGTGCACAGCCTCCAGGTGTGTGACAGCCAAATATTAAAACAAGCATACGTAGAAAGCGCATGTGTACCAAGTGCCACTTACGTCTCATGGTGACGTTGCCTTAGCGTCTCTTCCTGTTTACAGGAGCATCTATGATTCTGTAGCTAAGTGCTGGGCTCTCAGCCCACAGAGACTTCCAGCTGATGTTTTGTCTGCAGGTTTGTGTGCTGGCATTCTTCACTACTTAGAAGTCGAGCTATTGTTTTTGTTTGTAACGGGAGCCTCCCCACCCCAGGACAAGGTGATTCTTACTGCAAGCACCCCTCAGAGCAATGGGACACAGGCCAGGGTGACAATGGTCTGCAACGCTGGGTGCAGGGAGCCAAGGAAGAGTGTGCGCCGAGGGCTGCAGACGGAAGGCGCGCTCGCGTCCAGTCTGTGCTCCGGCTGCTCCTTCTCTGAGAACATCTGACAGCGCCGGTCTCCAGGACAGGTCTCTCTGGGAAGGTGCCAAATGCAATCCACTTTTTAAGTCAGACAGAAACAACACGGGCTGCCGAGATTCGCATTTCTGTTCCCTGGGTCCCCAAATGGCATCCACCGCCCATCTACTCTGGCAGTCCTGGGGATACAAAAATGGCTGGATTCTTGTTTTCTTCTTTCTCTTCTCGAAAAGGAACCTGTGGACTTTGCTCAATCACATCTCTAGTTCTGAGAGGAGGAAGCAGGGGCTCTGATGCTAAGCATGTGACTTACGCAGATGCCAAGCCCTGAAGGAGGTCTGGAAGTGGAAGCTCCCCATGAATACAGGGGTGTCAGGCTGGGTAATTGCACACTGTCACCGGAGAGCAGCTGTGGGCAGAGAAATCTTGCTCATGACAAAACGGAGCTTCTGGCAAATTGGACAAAAGCTGGTTACTCGAGTGGTTTTACGCTTGGCCTTTGCTGTGACCATTTTTCTTTCAACGCCTCACATTTTTAATGTGCTAGAAATTTGTCATCACAGATACTGGCTGAGACAAAGGAAAGGGAAACTAATTCAGTGCTGGCACTTTTGACTCCGAGAAGGAAATTCTACACAGGCAGGGAAAAGACGGCTATGCCAAATGTCACACCATGGCAGTCACTGAAACGGCGAACCCCAAAAATGTTCTTTCTTTCTCACAAGCTCGCCTCATTCACTTCAGGTGTGAAGTGGTGGTGTGGTCACTAGTGGACTGGTGGCGGGTAAGGGGACGTTATGGACCACAAGTCAGTGCAGGAATAACTAGAGGAGCAACCACATTAAAGACCGCTGTCCACACTCTCCTCTCCCCCTGCCCTCCCCCCGCCCGGCATGTCACAGCCCCACAGCTCTGGACGGCAGGTTCTCCTCCCGTATGGCTCAGAGGTCTCACACTAGCCCTTCTGCTAACCACAGACATGGGACAAGCATTAATGCAACGAAACCAACGAAGCCTTTTGAGCCTCCTGGAGAAAGACCCTAAGCCAATACCAAGCAGGGCTGTTCTTTTTATGCCAATCCCTCCCAGTTTATGCAAAGCCATAAGGAAATATTAACTTTACCTCCCTAGCAAGGGAGAGATGTAATTACAGCCCTGAGACGGTTTCCCCACATGGCATTAGTGGGTAAACGTGCCAGGATTTTAATGAGGTAAAACATGGAACTTCTATTCTGTGCCAATTGCTCCTTTCTCTAACACAAAGTCACGTTTGAGGGAGGGAAGGAGGGAGGCCAGGAAGGGGGGAGAGAGGGAGGGGGACAAAACCAACGAGATAAGGCCACCCTGTGATTCCCCTGGCGAACCTCAGACACCAGCAGACCTGTTCCCAAGACAACACAGCAGCACCGCTGCTCCTGACAGTGAAGAAGACATGTATCCACACAAAGACTGTAAAAGCCGAGTATGAAAGAATCTCAAGAAATCTTCAAGTGTTTGATAGTAACCCTGGATAAACTAGATGAGAAAGAAAACTTGACTCAAATCCTATTTCAACAAATCCCAATAAAACTAATTCTCCACCTCAATGCTGTGCAAACTTCCCTAATGACTTCACAATGACGTGAGAGAATTTATTGATCACCTACTACGTGCAATGTGTGAGAAATTATTGATCACCTACTACGTGCCACTCTAAGCACTAGACCCTGCAGAAACCCACTTCAGACACTCCCCGTCACTTTCTAAATGCAACCTCAATTCTGTATGTGATGAGAACACCACACGGCATCGGCTCCGGGTATTTCTTGCAATAGGATTTGCAACCTGTTTCCTTGTGGAAATCAATCACCCCACTCCCGTAGTGCCCCATTCCAGTGGTGTGTGAAGTATTCACTAGGACTACCAGATAGGGTTCCATTAGGTTGAAGACCCAAGCTTCAAGACTAAGCAGCTTCCAGAAGAATCCTTAAATCTACATCCTATGTCCAGGCCAATCCTGGGTGTGCTGAATTTGACTATCACCAGGAGTATCTATCAAGTTCATAGAGTCTGGGGGAGCCTGGGAGTTATTTTACGCTGTCTCGTCCCCACATCAGCAGAACTGAGTGTGAAATCTTGCAGACAGCATCCAAAGTGCCTAAGATTCTTCCCAAGCCAACCAGAGCTGAAACCCGTCCTCTGACACAGCCCACCTTGTGTGCATTCAGTCACCATGCCAGCCCTCCTCTGCTTCTGCTCCAGCTCCTATTTGGGGTGCCTCATTTCCACCATTCTTTTCTGGCTGCTCACCAACTCCTTCATCTTCTGGTGTCATGTTGTGACTTCTCCTTTCTACCTTGGGTATTTGGGGCCATCCTCATAGAAATCTGATACATTTGACCCATTTGGCACAGCGTGGCATCTCTCAGACCCACCCCATTTCCTGTCTCTGGTCCTGAACAGTATGGAGTCAGAAAGCTCTGTGAGGGCTCATCTTACAGACATCACAAGGTCAGAGACTGTCTTCCTTGCTTTCCTGTCCCTGCCACCTTGCCTAGCACATGACAGGTGTTCAACAAATATGTTTGGACAAATGGATATATCATAAGTTAGGCAGGCAGATAATGAGTTAATGTAACTTGTTTGCAGGTAGTTCATGTTTCTAGACAATCACGAAAGTTATACTTATAACCCAAAGGATTAATGCTCATAAAGTGCTTTGAAATCCACACAACAATAGTTCTGTAAAGTAATCCAGTGTCACCGAGCACAGAGACACAGAGAACAGGCTGCACGATGCACGTGAGGTGAGCAAGGAGGGAACGAGAAATGGGACATTGGGGGAAAAGAACAAATAATCAATAAACAAAGTAAAACTCACCCTTATCATAATCATCATCCTCAACTGCTTTTTCTTGGAGTTTCTGAAGCTTTAATCTTAAGGAGTTTACCTATGTTGTTTTGAAGGGAGAAAAATGAAAACCGAATTACAACAGTGTTCACACAAACTTATTTTAGTAAAGCTAACAGCATTTAGAAACTATTTCAAAACTGAACTTTATCCTTTTTAAAAAGAACCACAAATGTACATTTTTCCAGTGCCAGATGTATTAGTTTCTCAAAAAAAAAGTTATATGGGTATAATTTGAGCATAAAATCCAGAGTTAGAATGTTATTTTAAACAAAAACATCACACTGTACACTTATCTGCATGAAAAAAATGCATTTTGAAAAGGAATATAAATTTCCTGACCTGACCAAAAGGTCTCTGTTCTAAAAATCACATTAAAATTGTGAAGATAAACAAAGCAAAACTGGAAGAGACACCAAGAGAAGGACGCAGGCTTTCCTGCAGGCTGGGGAAGTGTGACAGAAGGGCTTCCTAAAGCCCTTGTAGGAGTCCCAAGGGTCACAGGCTTCCCATCACACAAAAGGGCCTTGTCTTATTTGACCCACATGCAGACTCAATGGTCCCATCATTTGTCTGAGAAGCACCAACAGTTCGTTTGTAATTATTTTTCTTCTCAATGGGAGACCCAGGGATTTTCTGATATGGATTCTTGTCCTATCAGTGAATGGATTTGGGCTGGTTCCCTGAAAAACACCTTCATCCCGTCTTTGCCTGGCTTACAGCTGGCTCAGGTATCGCCCCCTCCGGTCAGGGTTAAATGTCCTCCCTCTGTACTGCCACTGTGACCTGCACTTGCTTCCAGCCACACGATCCATTTAACAAATATCTACTGAGTGCCTCTTAGGTATCAGGCTGAGATGCAGCACAAAATTCGTAGCCCTCCAGACTCACATTCTTGTATAGGAAGACAAAAAATAAAGATAATTAGTAAGTTTTATGGCGCCATACAAAGTGAGTATTGCTATGAAAGAAGTAAGAAGTAGAAGCAATTAAGGGGATCAGGAATGCAGGTAGACGGTGGGGCTGCGATTTTAAACAAGACGTCCCTAACAAGCTCACATTTAAGCGATCATTTAAAAGTAAAAGGCTCCCGGGCCGGCCNCCCGACTAAACCAACAAACTCTGCTCAGTATGCTCATTTTAATCCTCTTGCATATTTTTAACACCCCTCATTTTGACATCATACGTTGCTCTCAGTCGTTCCTAATGGCTTCCCGTGTGCAATAAGTGTACTGGCTACCACTCTAATCCACTCAGCACCAGCTCCCCGTCTCCTCATAGCAGACGTGTACCCACCTCCTCACATGGACATGCAGGGTAACGTGTTTGGCTAATGACAGGGCTTCACCCCTTTGGCTACAGTAACTGGTCCAAAGGGTTAGCACCTGACCTAACCTGACACGAAATTTTCATAGTGGAGGCAAGGAGGGAGTCCCCTTTCTTCACTAGTTATGGCATTATTAACACAAAGTCTTGAATTACCATGTGGGATAAAGGGGTGGGGTCGTTTGAAAACATTCCTCTATCTAAAAGTGGTCTAATTCCTCTCCTCTTGAACATGGGCTGACCTGAGGGACTTGCTTCAAATGAACAGAATTGGCAGAATTAACATCACATAATTTTTGAG